ACATATAACTTCGATCTGAGGTCTTATTATTTTCTTTAGTCAAAATAATATGTCCCTCCCAATAAWGGTTGTCTAAAACATTTCAACCCTCACAAAATATTCAAACATATGTCCCTCCCCAAAAATGTAGTGTTCCCCCGATATACAATGTAATATGACAACAATGATCACCTCCTTGTCAATACTAATTTAGATSTTGATCATGCAAGAAAAATTAGAAAATTCATCTGAAATTTGAGGATGTGATTAMCCAGAAAATAAGGTAAGGGCAATCTAATTTCCAATAATTCCGCCCCTATAAAGAAAGAGCTGGACGCKTTCACAAAATAACCAAACAACCAGTCACAGCCTACCTGCAAAGCTGACTTACAAACTCCTTTTCCATTTTGGCTGCATGAATTGCTTCCAGACCGTTKATTGTATCAGCAATGTGTGCATAAATGGGACTACATTTGATAGATTCCAAACGTTTGAGCTCTCGACTGCTCTTCAAGGTGAACCAGCAAACGAAACAAAATAGAAGAACAATTGGAACCACTGGAATCACAAACCAATACTCGACTAATGCAGTTAATACCATGCTGCCAACAAATTGTAACATCATTACAATCGTWACCASGAATGTTCGAGGCARAAGTTGCTCGATGCARCGAGTGTCTTTAGAAAATCTGTTCATTATTCTTCCAACGGGATTCGTATCCATGAATAAGACCGGTGATTTGAGGATAGCTACAACCATTCGGTCATGAAGATTCGCTGACGAGTGAAGAACAACAAGAGGGAAAAAGACATATAGCAAACCTGCCGAGACTACGGCTAGAAAGACCAAACAGGAGAGTACACCAAAGCTAAATGCACTTTTTTGATCTTCATAATTCATGTCCACCATTTGTAAAAGCCACAGATTTGGAGCTATCTGCAAAGCTAGAACATGAAAACACTGATACAGTTATGGAAGCAAATGCAAATATTTTTTTAGAACTAAATATGGTTAAATTCATTACTTTACGTACATTTTAATTAAGAGAATAAGAAGTATCTCGATGGTACGGCATCCAAGTTTAGTTTCAAAAAAGAGCACTTACAAAAGACGAACAGGTGAGAAGATTATGACAATACTTAGAACCTTCTCGATAACATGCAACTTTACATTGTTTTGTGAATGTGTGTGCTCATTACCTTGACTAGCCAGGAAAGCACAGCAAAGAAGTACAATTCCGATTGCAGGAAAACCTGCTCTTAAGAATGACCAGTAGACTTTCCAGCTGATAGAACCAGCCGGACATTCTTCTCCGTCATCATCTAATTCCAGTTGCAGAATCTCGTCTGCACTGGCTTTTGTTGATCCACTGGTCAAATTGCGTCCGCGATYCCTTTCCATGGGTTTCTTATYATAGATTTGCGTGTCGCAGATTTSAAGCTTAGCCTGCTGAAGTTCATTGTAGCTGCCTTTGAATGCTATSCGACCATCTTCCATAATTACTATTTGATCAGCTTTATCCAAGTACTGAATCTGGTGGGTGACTAGTATTATCTTCTTTTTGCAAAGAACTCCACGAATACATTTTTCAAACAGATGACTTCCTACTTTGGCGTCCACGGCACTCAACGGATCATCTAACAAATATACGTCTGCTTCAGAATACAAAGCACGGGCTAGACTAACTCGCGCTCTCTGACCACCGCTTAAGCAAACTCCTCTATGACCAATAAAGCTCAAGTCACCTTTTGCAAAGTGTTTCATGTCTGCCTCAAGTTCGCAGACTTGAAGAACATGACAGTACTTTTCGAGAACAAAAGGCCTTCCAAAGAGAATGTTGTCACGAATTGTTCCAGAAAAGACCCAAGGAATTTGGCTCGCGTATGCAATTGTTCCTTGCCCCCGGACAACGCCACTTTTAAGAGAGAGTTCACCGAGGAAAGCTGACAATAGCGAGGTTTTGCCGCTTCCAACAGGACCAGTGACTATTGTAAGATGCTCTGGCATTATCTCCAAAGAAATGTCTTGAAGGCTGCAATTAACACGTTGCGGATCCCAAACTGCAAATGCATTTTCCATTGATAGAGTTTCAGTAGAGGGAAATTCGTCTTTCCCAGTCAACCTTTTTGAGCGTAGGAGAATGATTTCATTCCGAGATGGATTACTATATGTGTCTTGGAAGTAACTTTTCCCTTTTGGAGTTTTAAACTGGATTTCTTCCATATCATCGAAACCTTTGTTGTCTCGCTCACTCTCTTTAATGGTTTCAGTTTCAGCCAAACATTTTACAATGTTTTCAATTCTCACCAAGGAAACGATACCGTCCCTCAAAAAGAGGACCTGAATGGTTGTATTAATGCAAATGGCAGTTCGTAAAAGGCTCAATAAAACCAATAGAGTAAAAACATTAAAGTAGGTGAGAGACACCCCAGTGTACAGAAGTGTAGCAATTGTAATAAATAGCGCAATTGGTGTAGCTGTGATGAAGTTCGAGGTGTAGATGACACTCCTTATTCGAAACATTTGAACCTCTTTTCTGAAGAGCAGAATGCATCATTATAGTTAGCATATTTTCATATAAAATTAGGATTCATTTATCCTTCATTACCACAAGTGTAGAAATCATTGTCTAAAAAACGTCATTGCAATTCAGACCATCATTTGAACACTTGTTCCTTAGTCCTTAGAATAGAGATGGATTCACCTAATAAAATATGACCAATCCAAAACATCCCCTTTGAAAAACAAGCTATCGATTTATTATTAACAATCGCATAGATTGTTCCTATTTAATTACTTTTACCATATACGGAATACGCATCAGTGGCAAACCTATCTATTCAAACGAATGTGGACGACCACGACTATTTGACTAAGGGCAAGGCACAGAGTTCCCGGGAGTAGTGAGGAAATTAAATTAAGACCTGTTTTATCTTACCTTCTGATACGTTTTACAAAATCTCGGAAATTCCATTCCCAAGCGTACATCTTGACAGCTCGAATGCCVCAWATGATRTTGTTTAYAATGGCCAGTCGATGATCTGTCACTGCTGCCGCCTTTGCATGGAGAGAGCCAAATTGTTTGGACATCAATAGATTTAGTATTAATACGAATCCGAAATAGACTGCCCCAACTAATCCTTGCCATCCAAATAACCACCAAAGCAGTACCAAACCCGYGAAGATTTCAAGGGGCGCAGCTGTGGCATAACTGAAATTTTGGTAGAGGCACCTTTCCACCGCAGTTGTATCGTTGGAGACCAAATTTATTATATGTCCTGTTGTAAAATTGGTCAACCGRCATCGTCGAGCAGACAAAATCTGTTGAAGAAATAAATAAACATCCATCAAGATCCGGAATGATGTTTGTGAATTTACCCAACGGATAGAGCTATGGTCAGTTACATATTGCAGAGATTTTAGATGTTTTTTGGGGTAGGGGGGGGGGGGGGGGGGAGATCGAGGAGATATGTGTGTTTCTATCAGTTGGCGGAGGCACACTCGACGACACGCCTCCACACTTCTCGATCCACCAAAAAATCAGAGAAACAAAAAACACCGTACTCGTATTAACGAGACATTTTTTGATAATTTTTTCTCTGGCTAACAACCTATTTTACCAAATGAAGACATTYACCTTTTTGTAGACGATACCAATAATAGCAACCTTTGCACGTAAGCCTGTCACATTTCCATGGAAAGACATATGGTGGTATGGAATCACCTTMACAAAGCTTATTATCGATAAACCAGCAACATATGGAACAGCACTAACAAAAYCAACATCAGATTCACTAATAAGCYTTAGGAAATACCAGACAATAACGGAAAAGGAAAAATTGCAACAAGAATGAAAAACTTTAGCTGTGGTCATAACAAATATGGTTTTGAAGGACACGAAATGAAGCAGTGCTCTCCATAG